CTCTCATTGTCCAGCTTTCTGACTGCATTGAGAGCAGGCACAAAGGGACAATACCAGATAAAATGGTTTGACGTTCCTCTACTTCAGGCACTATAAAGTCTGCATTACACATTTGGATAAATGACTTTTTTCCCCTCTTGTTTGTGTCTCCATTGTCTCTGAAATGGCATTGCAAGCACCCTATAGGATTTATTGAAATTAACTTTTTTGGGGTAAATTTACCATTTTTTATGAGTAAAGTAAACCCAAGTTTAGTGAATAATATGCCAAATGCCAATTAAGATAAAGGGCCCTATTCGGTATCTGTTGCAAAGTGGTACCAGGCATGATACAAAGGTCTTTGCCAGCATGAACCGGATGCAGTTTCCTGTCCAGCTGGGAGTTGAGTGCTTTGCTCAAGGGTCCATAGACATGTGACTGTTCTGTTGAGGCTGGACATGAATTGGTGACCTTGTGACCACAGGTACAGAGGCTTAGTCTGCTGAGCCAAACACTTCCCCAACCAGATGCTACCCCCTAACAAAACCCTGGTCTAAAGTCAAAGGCACATCATTTCACCCTTATTTTAGGGGTGCACTGAAAAAAAATGCTCTGTGGAATTTATTTTTAAAGAATCTTGTAAGTTTTCTAAGTAAGTTTAACTGTAGCACTATGGAGTAAAAGTCACTTAATTATAAGCCTTAACAATCACATGTTAAATTTAAGGAAATTTAATAATTACTTTCTTGTCTTGTGTAACATACAACCTTTGTTAAAAAAACCTGAATTGATCAAATTAAACATAATTTTTAAAGGTGTGGAATCTTACACCACAAAAACATTAAATATTATTTATATAGAATAGTTGCATGTCTATTGGGCCTTGAGCAAAGCCCTTAACTCCCAACTAGACAGAAAAGTGGATCAGGCTCATGCTGGCAAAGGCACCTACATGATGCCTGGTGCCACTTTGCATCAGATGCTGAATTTTGAACTGAAGTTTGACTTTAAAAAATTTATATCACAAATCAAATCCCTATTGCGATACCTGTCAAAAAACATTGCGATTAGATATTTTCCCCAGATCGTTCAGTCCTAATGGCCATATATGAATGTATTCTTGGAGCAACATGCTAAACTTATATGGTAAATTTAAAACAAATAAGAGTCATACTGTATGGATTCATATGGAAATATAACAAGCTTGCAAACTTAATGTGTTAAATCACATCCATATACAATATTAAGCCCCACCCATTGTATAGATACAGGTACAGATAATTTTGTTGGTTGAACAGATTCAGGGAGTCCTGTACTCACTGACCCCTGGTAACCTTACTTTGGAATTTTCAGGAGTTCCTTTTCTTGGAAAATTTTCAGCCACAAGTCAACCACGGCACTGCCTGGTCGTCAGCAATATGGTCCAGGTTGTTATCTCCATCCAACACCGCTAAAATCTGAGCCATGGCCGAAGCAATGGTGTCCTCCATCTGAATCCACAGCATCTGGCTGAAATGGTAAATATTAATGACATTAACAATCTAATACATTAGTTAAGATTCTGTTACATTATCTGTTTTTGTTATAGTACAATGAATCTTATTTATATACAAAGAAGGGAAGTGTCAATCTCCCATAGTACATTACCGAAATGAACCTCCATGTTCTACAAATTTGTCAGACGTAGCTTGAGATTCAATCCAGTTTTTATTTTGTCCAGCCTCTTGCGCCTGAAGTACCTCCACAATTCTTTTCTCCAGTGTTTTGATGAAAACATCTGAGACTTCAAAAAGAAAGATGGGGTCTTTTTGAAAAATTATTGTATATAAAGTAATATGAAATTGGTGGTATGGTGGCTCACATTAAAATTATGATGCATTGTTTTTGAAAAATATAGCACGGTTAGGCATGCATTATTGAAGTTTTGGATTAAATTTCAAATATGTATACCAGTGTCTCCTGTGTTCAGTAAATTCTGGAGAATCTTGATTCGCTTCAATGCCCTCTGCTTGTTGTCTGGTTTGTCTCGTAGCTGCATAATTCCCTTTTGCATGGACTTCTTAAGGATGAACAGTATGTCAATCAGCATGCCCTACACAATAAAGATAGAATGAATAATATATACACAATCCACAATTTTAAATAAAATTGTATGTATGTACAGCACTTTATCAGATCAAGTTATCTTCAAAACTTACTTGTCCCTTTTTATTTGGCCTTAGAAGGTTTGCAGATTCATCATCTGTTAAAGCAGGTCGAATTATATTAGGAAAGAACAACCGATGACAAACTGAGGGCAAACTACTCAGTCCGGAAAACATAAAATTTTAACCACCAAAAAAATAGATGACAAAAAGAGTTTGCACCTTGTTCAAAGGTGACCATACTTCTCTGGAACACCTCAGATATGGCCATGCTGCTTAACTGACACATGTTTGCCTGAAATTCCTTTGTTGTGAAGAGTTCATCCAGGTGTAAGCAAATCCAGCCATCTTTAAAAACAATAACAATAAGTCCAGACATACACTATAATGCACAATCGTTGCATATTTATTCATTAAAAACCCACTTCATGCTTAAGTTGCTACTGCTTTTGGTTAATAGTTTCATTCACTATTATGTGAGGATTGCACTTATCTATTGAATAGTGTTATCATACCACTTACACATACATAAATATAGTAAGTGTAAGTTACCATGAATTGAATAGTGGCTGTTTTTGTTTTTTTCTACTTGTCAGCGGGTTGGGCTTGATCTGTGTCAATATCCTGGTGTCCCATGAGAATTACCCTTTGTCGCAACTTGCGAGTTTCTTTTATCTACAAATGGTGTTGTACCAGTGAGTATTCCAACAGCGCTTTGCAGATTGGATAAAAAATATTAATACGTCAATCACTCATAAATATGGGCCTTTGCGACCGCCGTAAGCTTCCAACACTACCAACAGTCCTTCTCTCTAACACGCAGTCTATCCGCAACAATCTGGATGACCTGGAAGTGTGGGTCAAACTCAAACACAAAGGAAAGGACACCAGTTTGCTTTTACTGATACATGGCTTTATGAATCTGGATCGGTCCGTGGCGATAACCAACAAGCAACCTGAAGGGGGTGTGTGTTTTTACGTAAGCTACAGATACTGTAACAATTGTGATTCAGGAGAAGACATATACCCCAGACATTGAATTTTTTACAATCTCACTCCGCCCTTACTACTTGCTTTGGAAATTCCAGCAGTTGTTTTTCACCATTGAGTATATACACCGCGATCTAATGCATCTGCAGCTGCACAGCTGATTGCTGATGTAATGCATGGGTTAGACTCAGTCTGCCCAGATGCGCCTAAATTTATTCTCAGGGATCTTAATCATCGTGGATTAAAAAAAACATTAAGGATGTGTGAGCACATGGTTTTGGCATAAATTATATTTTGTGTCTACTTAGTCATCCCCAAAAAAAGATTGCTACTTATTAGAGATGGGCGATCCACATTTTTTCAGTTCCGATCCGATTGCGATACACAACTGCTGATACCGATACAGATTCCGATACAAGAGCTCTTTTTACTTTGTTATACTTTATATATTTTTTTAAGCTAGTAAGTACAGATGGAAAAAATGTATGACAAAAAAATATTTAATTAGGCTACTACAAACATACATAACGTACTGTTCCACCTCATTTGTTTTAAGCATTTTTGAGGCATTTGCAGTTCAATTTGAATATATCTTCAAAGCAAGTGTACACAAGTGGCGAATGCTTAAAGTTTTAACACAGTTTTTCTCCCATTGGCGTCAGCACAGTTACATTTTTGTTGCGATGGCAGCCCCTCTTGTATCATAAGTTGCAGTGAGTTCACAAAACAGTCCAATTAAATTAGCAACTCCCAAATAATCCATTGCTTTGTTTTGTCTCGCAGTAAAAACATATTTATTTTACTAGGGACCCTCTGGAGAAAAAGACTGTCTGAAGTAATGAAGGCTTGAATGAAGTATAGAGAAAAAATAGACATGACATATAGCAGCGGAGATGAAGCACTGGAGTGAAATATAGTGACACGCTGAATACTTGTAACTCATTTTTTCCCACTCTTTGCAAGGTCTTAATTTGCTGGAAATTTTCCTTGCTTACAGGATCTTTTGTATTTCAGAATGATATATCTCAGGAATGTGTTACTGTACAGCCCAATTTATGAGGCTGGACATAAAGAAGGCTACTGTTCCTGATGCCATCTGTGGGTGCAATTGTGCTAACTAGCTTAATGAGGTCTTCACGAAACTCTTTAGAATGTGGGCTAGATACCATAACCTGGAAGAGGAGGACGAGGGGCTACCTGAAAAAGACCAGAATAGCCTAAAAGTTTGCTCCAGAATAACTGGAGTTCAGCAAAGACATTTGTGTTCCCTGTGGGAGAATCAAATCACCCAGAAAGCAAAAAAAATTGTAAGCCATTCTGAATATGTTTTGTCCAGGGAATACATTGATTAAAGTTGTCTGACTTTGACTCAATGAAATTCTACTGGCACCGCCGTTAACTTCAGGTCTGTCAGGGGATCTGCAGCCAGACCCTTCTCGATTTAGGATATCATTGTACACTGATGCCTGGCCAAGGATTTAAGTTAGTGACGTGCTAGAACTTCAGACAACAAGAGAAAATTAATTACATAGATAACTTGTGCATTTATAGCCAACATATGTTTCAGCCAGGGATTGGCTTGGGATGAATGGACAAATAATATATTGGACAAATGTCTGGGTGACTAGTATCTACCAAACAATAAGAAAACCTCATTTTAATTCTCCTCTGGATGGAAATGGGTGAAAAAAGAGGAGCACTGCGCATTAAACAAGGGCTTTTCTCTTACCTCCACCTAATGCAGTGTATCCACATCCTCCTGATATCCGAGGAAGTCTTGTGAGAAGGACAACATCCACAACTGCTCCATGTACATGGTTTATGAGTTTTTTAACACAGTACCTGAACATAAAAACACTGAAATAAATACTTTAAACTAAATTAACAAAGTATATTACAACCAGGACTACCAAATGTCTGGCATTATCTCAAAAACATGTAATATGTAACTATAATAGCACAGTTTACAAGCTTTACTGTCATTGACTGTAATTGTTCTTTTTTTACATTTGATATCAACAAATCATTTTATTGGTAAGCCACAAATACCAAAATCAGCTTTTTTTGATGTTTCTTAATTGCCAGATTGAATGATTTTTTGAAATAATTTGCCAGTTTCATTGAGCTCTTAATTATTGTATATTACAATATAATTTCTTGAGGTTTGCTTCCTGACAAGCAATGGAAGCTATTTTACCATATGTTACTGCTGATAAATGAATACTGAATACAATGGATACAAAATGAATGCTCAAAATGGAAAACTTTTATTGACATACAAGCAATAAAAAATATTACCTGACACAGGAAAGAAGCCTCTGACTCAAAAGGGGATCTTCAAAATAGTACTGCAATAATAGGAGTTTGCGGCCATCCATATCAGAATGAAGGAATTTTCTAGAAAAAATGAAATATGGGGAGACACTGCTCTAAAGACATAGTTTGTATATATGTGTGTACACTGTAAAACCTTATGAGATAGTTCAACTCAAACTGTTTGAGGAATCGGTTTGCCTTAAATTATTTAAGTTTATGAACTCAAACAATTAAAGTAAAAATATTTTTTGTATTGAGTAAAAGTAACTTAAGTATTCATAATTTAAGCAACTTAGTTAAATCAAGTTAAGAGTATCAGCTGCATTCATTAATTTGATTTAAATGACTTGAGTAACAATAACTTAAATGCATCCTCCTTAAGTAAATGCTACTATTTAAGTTTTATTTACTCAGTTTTCTTCCTTTAAGATTTATTATTACATTCTAGTTGTGACAACTTTTAACCAACACAGCAAATGTGCCAGTGTTAAATTAACACTGCATGGTGTCCATATTGGTCCACACCATTCAGTGTTCCCTTCAACACTTTACAGTGTGCAGTGTGTTGTTTTTACAGTGTTAATATTTATTAACTCTTATAGTGTTCAATTTACAACCTAGAGTGTTAAGACAATTTGTCTCCACCTCTTCCCAAAATGCAAGCCCATAAGCCCACAAGTACAAAATGGGTGGCCGATATCCGCCCCATTTTAATGTACTCTCATTTGAACTCATTTGGGCATTCAGCTGCTGTGTTTTACTAAACCACCATAATAAGAAAGATTCAGACCAACATAGGCTTTTCTCTTTTTATGGGCGAGTCCTGTTTTAGGCCACATATTCATGTCCTTGTGTTTAACTGGCTCTTATTCTTTTACAAAATCAGTCAAATCTTTATAACAAACCTATTTATTGCTCTAACAATGAAATTGTTATTTTTATACTTTTACGTCTCTTTAAAGCACAATTTCTCTGGAATATGTGCTCATTTTAGCATGTCCCAAATGCAATGTATTGAACTTTCTCAGGAAATATAAACTATAAAATTATAAAAACCAGAGCTAATTCTTTAATATTTTGATATACTAGGGTATACTACCTTTAGAGAAACAAAGCTGGTGAAACTTATTTTGCTTGTAATTATATGATATATTATATATCCTCGCATTTGTTTTCCACCCTGTGAGCCTCTAGTTTCTTGGCTCCCTAAAAAGATTACAAATCCATACAGCCATTTCCAGGAAGTGACATCATTTGTTTTTTGGGGGAAATTCAACTGGAAGACTAAGGTAAGCTTTAACTGTCACTCTCTCCTGTATTTTTCTCAATTTTATATTACACACCGGTTTGAGGCACCCTTAATGTTCCACCCTGTTAGTATGTATTATGGGAAATATTTATTGGAAAAAATGTTTTTTAAAACTAATGTTATAATGTTAAAAATAGCTATTTAAATGCTGATCAGCTGTAGAGTGTGTGCTAGCTAAAAGTTGCTCACTCAAAGAGCTAGAGCTAAATTAGCTAGAAATATTCCACCTTGTTAGGTTTCACTTTGTTAGGCTATGTATGAGATATGCAGCCTTACAGAGTAGAAAGTGTACAAGAATATTTATTATTTTCATTAAAATGACTTGTAGATTTGTTATTTGAGTGTATTTCTTGTGTATGATAATGAATAACAATGGTATAATTAAAAAGTATTATTATTATGTGAGTGTATTTCTTTATGTTACTACAGTGGTATTATTATTATTACTATTATTATTAATTGTAGTAGTAGTATTGTTGTTGTGAATCTGAATCTACTTGTTAAGA